AATGCATACTGTCATCTTTCAGCCAGGAATGGTATGCGAGTACATTTAGAGACTGGGTCCGCCGCCATGAAAAATGTGTGCGGGTTTTAAGGGAATACTTTGACAAGTTTTAAGGCAAAACGGTAACGTAGATTACTTCCTATGATAGCATAACGTCGTATGTGACGTCGTGAGCTGCGCCGCGTTTTGTCATGTCTATATGAATAAACTGGTGCAGAATCGTTATTTCTTGTACAATCTTTACAATATTTTGAGAATTTGCCGACATATGCTCACTTAATAAAATACAAGAATTTCATGTGATTTGCTTTATTACTTTTTGTTTTATGCAGGGTGTCCACGAATTTTTGGATCACCCCTCGTACTTTAAATAAAAATTTAAATTCTAACACTATCGGAATTTTTTTTCTATATAAACAAAGAAGGCCCGAAGCGTGCATTATTCTACAACAATGCACTCGCCGTTCTTATTATCTCCCTGTGTATTTTCACATTGAGGGCGCCATTGTGTTTGAAAAATCTGATAAATAAAAACAATTTTTTGTCGAATTTTGTTGTGAAAAAATATCTAGAATGAAAGAAAATGGTCTAACTAAGAAAATGAATCCGAACACCAATATCTTTAATTCAGTCGTTAACGCTGTACAGACGTTTAAAGTATTGTTTACCTGACGTCACAATGTAGCGCCAAACAGCACGTGCAAAACAGTCAAATCAAGTACGATATTTTAATGTCGCAAACATGTTAAATTTTACATTTATTTCACTTTTAATAATTTTTATTTCAATTGAAACATTATAGAGTGAAGTAAAATAGAAAAACACAGTTTTATCAACGTTTTCAAAATGCGTTATTCTCAAAATGTTTCTACACACGGAAGATTTAACGACAGTTTTTCATACCTCTGTAAATGCCTTTAAAGAACGTTTCTATTGGAAACTCTGAGGCGAAAACAAATTTAACCACCAAACATAAAGTCCAACATTATAATAATAATTATATTTTTTCTTGACGTGTTAGAATTGAAATAGATATTAATTCTTTGTGCATAATTGTATAATAATGTACGTTTTTCATTCAAATGCTTTGTAATTAATCACTCAGGCCTATCGGCCTTCGTGATTATATTACTACGCATTTGAACTCAAACCGTGCATTATTCTAGAACAATGCACTCAGAATTGATATCCATTTCCTAATTCTAACACTAACGGATTTTTTCTATATAAACAAAGAAGGCCCGAAGCGTGCATTATTCTACAACAATGCACCCGCCGTTCTTATTATCTCCCTGTGTATTTTAACATTGACGGCGCCATTTTGTTTGAAAAATTTGATAAATAAAATAATTTTTTGTCGAATTTGGTTGTGAAAACTAGCTAGAATGAAAGAAAATGAATCCGAACACCAATATCTTTAATTCAGTCGTTAACGCTGTACAGACGTTTAAAGTGTTGTTTACGTGACGTCACAATGCAGCGCCAAACAGCACGTGCAAAACAATAAAATCAAGTACGCTATTTAATGTCGCAAACGTGTTAAATTTTACATATATTTCACTTTAAATAATTTGTATTTCGCTTGGAAAATTATAGACTGAAATAAAAAAAACAAACAAAGTTTTAACAACGTTTACAAAATTTGTTATTCTCAAAATGTTTCTACACACGGTAGATTTAACGGCAGTTTTTTTCAACCCACTGGAACGGCCTTTTAAGAACGTTTCTATTGGAAACTCAGAGGCAAAAACAAATTTAACCAGCAAATATAAAGTCCAACTTTATAATAATAATACTATTTTTCTTGACGTGTTAGAATGGAAATAGATATTAATTCTTCGTGCATTATTGTATAAGAATGCACGTTTTTCGTTTAAATGCTTTGTAATTAATCACTCAGGCCTATCGGCCTTCGTGATTATATTTCTACGCATTTGAACTCAAACCGTGCATTGTTCTACAACAATGCACTCAGAATTGATATCTATTTCCTAAGTAACATATGTTTTAAACATTATATGTGTGGCGTGATATAAGATAAATTTGTTTCGCGACTATGTGTGTTACTTCCAAAAGAGCAAAAATAAAGTAACACTTGTGCAGTTGACGTTGTTATATCCAATCTTTTATCGAGTCAAATGTTTTTAAATGTTTCGTCCAGTTTAAAAATATTTGTTTCCTTTCGGGAAAAAGAACATGTTTAATAACTAATGACTTCTACAAATAGTTTAGCACTTTTCAATATTTAGTTGACAGTTTCAATGTTCCACTATTCGTTATTTTATTTTCAAGTTATGGCAAGTATGAATATTGCGGTGGTGGCACTGTCGGAACAGAAGTTGGTTGGACACAATATTGTGTGGGATTCTGTCCAATGCCGAAAGATGGGGGAGGCGGTGAATAAGGCGGGGGATTCGAACCTAGCTTCAAACCTCTTGTGGAATAAACCTGTTGTTGAGCGTTCAGAGTCTGGGTAATTCTGGGTTCGTCGTCCGACCGTGTTTGTGTAATTAGGATGATTAATTCTCTGATTGTTGCCTTTGGGTTGATAGCATATTGTAATGCATGACATGAATGTAACTAGTAGCAGAATGACAATTCCTGATAAAAGACATGCTGACAATATGACGTGCGTCTTATACATGTCATTGTCATCATCATCGTCATTATCGTTTACCAGAAATAATATATTAAACACGATTCCAGTGATAGACATCATAAACACAATGAAGCCAAAAAACAGTTGAAGTTGTGGCTGAAAAATTACGAGAAAACATATTAAGAAAGTCAGCACTAGTGCCTATTATTTTGTCTCACGCGTACTATTATAAATGAATCATTTCATTTCATTACTGGATCAGTGAATTGGGGCATCAGAACATATGTTTTACATATTTGTAGACTAACTCAATACAAACGTTATTCGTACATTGAATTCCATTTTTATCATGTGACAATATTAAAAGACTTATAATACAAATTCAGTTCAAGGTCAAAATTCGAATAACTTTATTTAACTTCTGCATTTAGGGCAATTTAATGAATATGCTTATATTAATAGTAGGTGGTATTGTGACATTTGATTACGGTAACAATGGATCACCACTAAGGTAGCTTGTGGCCTTTTCCCCTTTTGGAAATTTGTGATACGATAGTGTTTCATATTTCCATTTAAAATATTGCTGCATTGAACATTTCTGCAAGCTTCAAGTCAAACGGAAAAGACCAACAATGGAAAGTTATGTACCATTCGAAACGGCAAATGTTTGCCGGGAATATGGTATATATGCGATATATGCCGAAACCACATATTACCGACACCAAACCGTGTCTCCATCCACCTTGTATATTTCCATAATTTATTTTAAAAAGCTGCAAATGATGTCATACAAAATAAACCCCATTAAAATTATAATACTAGTTTTATATCCTACCGTAAGCAGTGATTCTTTCCGAAGATACCCGACATCATCACCGTTGTAAAGATATGCTTTGTGAACGGTAATTAGGCCACAAATGCCTGCTAAAACACCCTGAAAGTATAAACTAGTAAGATATACATCCCTTAAAACCGTCAACGTCAGTATTCGACTGACGTTTATCTTCAAGCAGCGAGATAAATTGTTTATCCTAGTCACATACCAGCATATGGACGTGTTCATATCAGTTCAAATCTTTAAAAGTAGCCAACTGTTTTCCATGTAGACTGCATGTTCTATCTATCTTTTAAAGTTTTGCATATTTAATATGCCAGAAAACTGTCTTAACCGAAACCTTTATAATACTTCGGAAACTAAATCGGTCTGAACGGACTAAAACTGAGCCTGCAACCTTTCTTTGGGATTCTTATTTCACTTTATATTTTCGCCACATCAGCGTTGTTTGTGCCGTGTGGAGGCTGTAAAAAGTCGCCCCTTACATTCAGGGATGTCATATTTCCGATTCGGCATCTTTCTTGTTGGGTGGTCCCAGTATCCCTCACTTGAATACTGTTGAATCACCCTTAGGATGTGTGACCTACTTTTTAAAATTGCCTTTTGATGTTATATCTGTGATATGCAGGCTTCATAACCTACAATCTCCTTTTGAAATTCCATTTTATTTAGTTCCGCCCACTGTTTTCTCGTTTAGGGCATGCGCATTATTTTGATTGGGTACCATATGCCGCTTTTCATGGAATGGCACTAACGTGTCACATTGAAGGTTCCATGATAACCGTCATATGAACATATCTGCGGATGTTTCAAAATTCTAAATTTAACCAGTTCATATTAAATGTTGAATACTGCTTAAGCCGGTACTAGAGGACGTGGACGGTAGTTTGCATTTGACAGAACCGTCCATGAACAGGCTCAATCAATCCGAGCCTGCAACATTTTTAGTTTGACGCGTTGGTTTTTTAGGGACTCTTATTTCACTTTATTTTGGCTGAACAAGAAATGTTTCACGTATAATGCGTTCCAGAATAAAAAAGGAAATTCCAGATGTCCTTTTTCCGGGGGTCTACCTCTATGCACTTTTTCAGCAACAAATTTACATGCAGAAAGAGAGAGATGGAGTTAGGGGAATAATTCCCCTATCTTTTAAACCTCTAACGCATTGTACCTGTCCGTTTTGCGGATGATATTCCTCTATCTTTTAATATGGGTTTATTTTTTAAGGATAATGTTGGAAATCGTTGTTCGGAGTTATTTGATGAACACATATACGTATACATAGAAGAATACATGTATGTTATATTTCTTATACTTTTTGAAATGGGTAAGTAATACTGTCAGTAATGCAGTTCATTCTCCGAAATCAGTATGGGTGTTCGCATATGGTATAATTCTGTTCAATACATGCTGCTTTTTTCATTGCATTCCTCATGCGTTAGTATGTTCTTTGCCTGTAATTGTTATTTATGTAGATGAAAAGTTTTATGATATATGGTTTATCCCCGTTTTAATAAAGATGGTATGATCAATGACAAAATGGAGGGTAATAATATAAGGCAAGCATTTGTTTTATTTTGGTGACAATTCGTTACTTTATTTAACATTTTCCATCATGCATCATATTGTTACAGTGAGAATATGTAGTAAATAAAACAAATATTAGAAAAAATATTTAAAAGCTATCAAAAACTGATATTGATATCATATTTTTCAAGCTAGTAATAACATATTATTGTCAATCAGCTATCTGTTTATACAAAATACTTATCCATTTACCTAAAGTGTAATCATTATTTACATTAATTATCACCTTTTTTAGGAAAAAAACTAGCGCAAATATATAATATTTATTATATACTTATAAATGAAATATTGAAAAATATTGATGTAATAAAATGCGTATTTTCATTTTCCGTATTTTAACTATAAAAATCTATTTTTCACAGCAGTGAAACATATTTTCCGTATTTTCACTGGTGTCTTGCCGGACTACTTTCTTTTAAATTCTGCCAGTACACAAAATTTAAGGGAAAGTCTTTCAAATTTTAATGTCAAAAAGAGAAAAATGCATATAATTAACAGAAAATTCAAGTTTTTTCTATAAATACATGATTTATTTTCATCTTGTAGCATGAAAATTACCATATTTCACTCGTGGCTACCGCCACTCATGAAATATTTATTTTCATACCACTCGATGAAAATAAATCATGTATTTATAGAAAAATCTTGAATATCCTCTATTTATTTAGATAATAAATAAAATAATAATGATAACACAAATAAACAAATTATAATAATAATAATGATATTAAAATGAGAAAAAAAATTGTCCGTTATTTTTAGTTTAATATTATACTATTTTTCTCATTTTACTATAGTATCTATGCTTAGAAGTCTTAAATATTGTGCTTTAACAATATAACTGTTATATTTACCGGTATGTGTTTTTCCAAAATACCCATAAATTCAGGAAGGACATAGAAAAGTTGTTTGAAGTGGCAAATAGGTGAAAGATAAGCTCCTTTGCTTTCTAACGTTTAACAAAATGAACAGGCAATTTACTCGTAAAGTACATGTTTTTTTAAAGCAGTTTATATAGCATTTCATGATAGGAAGATTTTTACTTTATCCTTTTTTTAATTATTCATAAATAAATAAAGGGATGAATAGATAAGTAAATATAAGTAAATACATGTATAACTATATGAAAACTAGTAAATAAATAAATGAATAAATAATTAAGTAAATAAATAAATCAATTTATTAATGATGAATAAATAAAATGAAGAAATAAAGATAACATAAATAAATTAAAAAAATCAATTAATAAATAAATTAATTAATTAATTAGTTAAAATAAATAAATACATAAATTATTGATGTAATACAAAGTGCTTGAAAAGTGAAAAAAAAACATCAAATGGTTAAAATGTAGTAAAAAATGCGGTTTATCAATATTAATTGTATATGCGATGATGTGAGTTTGGTGTCATGAAAATCTTTTGTTTTAATGATGAGTAAATATCATAATTATATAACCCGGTTCAGAAAGAAGACAGAGCTCATTCAACCAACGTTTTATTTTAAAAGATTTTATGGTAATATGACACGTCTTCAACTGCTAATAATTTTGAAATAATATTCAAGATTATGCGGACATTTAAAATGTAACTGTTTGTTATCCATGTATGTTCTAAAAGTGACAATTCAATGTTCTTAAATATCTTTACTCAAAGAAATTGTAAAACTTATAAGCTTTCATTCTAGGCTAATCGTACAATCTCTAGTTGTAAAACTGACAGTCGATTTTACATTAATCATTTTAGCTAGAAGTCAATAAATACACTGCCCTGAGAAATGCTAGCACTAATAGTCCATTACGCATTACGCAGACATAATAAAAGTTAAACATTAAATTGATTAATAACACAATTTGTGAGAAGTTCTACACTATCTTCAGGTATTTCATTTAAAAGAATGCGTTTTAAAAATAATATAATAAAATATATATTACTTACTTTATGATAACAATTATGTAACACAAGTTAAACTTAAATAAAAACAAACAAAAGAAACAATATGGATACATAACTGAAAATGAAACTAAACTATTAATTTTATCTAACAACAAAAGTATCTTAAAAATGTTCGGCCGTTTTAAGCCATGCTGCCTTGTTATTACAACTATAGTCCTAAATATATTCAAACGTATGTTCAATGATATGTTTTATTTAACTTGCAATAAAATTTATGCATAGCATAGAAAGAGCTTAAAGTTTCAATTTTCATCATAAAATTTTTTGCATTGTTATTTAAACAAACTAAAAATAAGACAAAGTTGAGGTTACTGAACATTCATCAAATGTAATGATAATAACTAATAAATTATTTATGGAGATTTCTGATCTCATGTCTAATTTCCTAACTGATATCGAAAATCAGAAACAAAAATAAAAATCAATTTGAACATTGAAACATATTTAACATATTAAGAAAAGATGTTTATCAAAGAAAGATATTGGATGTTAAAAGCTAGTATCAAAATTTTAAAAAGGTTAAAGGCACAATATGTCCCAAAATATATCAATCACAAAATTGTTCTATATGGACAATGAGTGCGTACTATTTTTATAAAACGGTAACAAGATACCAAACATAAATGAAACTAACAGCATTTTTGAGGCATGACGTGCCTTTAAGTATTTAATATCAAATATTATGAACAAACAGAAGTTTATGGCACAATATGTATCAGAAATCCATACTTATCAAATATGATAATATTGCGCAATATTATATTACACAAAACTCAAAGCACTGATAAGACATATTATTTATACATTTCCCGGAATTATATTTTTAGCGGAATCAAATACTAGTAACAAGTTTGATTCTTAAAAAAAAGAAAAACAAAAAAACTTTAGTTGAAACATGATGAATTGAGAATACCAAAATCACTTCAGCAACTTCAAAGTTAAATGTTTATGCCTGATGTCTTCAGCGCGCATTCAAAATTATTTGCGTTTGTTCCAATGCATCACTTGTCTTTTATCCGTTTTATCCGTATTTTATGGTTATTCCTTATTTGACGCCTTTTTATATTAATATCCAGTATCATCTTATTGATTGTTTAATGTCAAATCACTGTTTCTTTCTTCTTAAATCTGAAAAATAAAATGAACAATTTCATTGCATTTTTTCTCATTTCTTTAAAGTAATAAAATAAGTCATACATTTATTCAAAAGTTTTAAACGATCAAATTGCTTGACACAAATGAAACACATGACTGTATGTATTTAATTGGAAACTTATCACTCAATAAAGGACTGACAAAATGTACACGTATCACATACTCAATCTGAAATATATTCATTTTTTTACCCTCTGATGTGTGTGTGTGTGATATAGGTCTTAGAAATATATGTGACTTACACTTTAAGCATAACGGGGTTTTCAAGTAGATATCATTTTATTTATTTGATTTATTGCAAGGATTAATACTAATATTTTATTATGTTACTTTTTATTCATGGACAAATGGACGAACGAGTCAAAACAACATTTAAGGATCATTATATGCAAGAATAACAAACATTAACAATTAAAAGCATATGGATATACATGTAATTATTAGAAATAATTTATTAAGTCTTATAACATGCGAAAAATTATTATGCTTGTTAAAGTGTTAAGATTATTTGTGTAAAGTACAATAAATGTAAAATTGTAATAATATAAGGTTCGAGAAGTTGAATTACAACAATTTCAGCTATCGTTATGATTATTTTATTAAAATGCATGGCACACATTTGCATGGCAATGAAAGAGATGTACCTAAGCTAAAACAATAGTTAAGAATCTTAATTAAAATCTTATGGAATAAAGGTAATAATTCTGTGATGTTAATACAAATACAAACAGGAAAATATTAAAATCAATGTATACAAAACATGGAAATGGTGAGTATATAAATACCTGATTAATTAACGAATTCCCAAGCACCACTCGATTACCTCTCGATTACTTCTTCCTTGAAGTTTCAATAGCCATTGTTTGTAATGTTTTGCTTGCTAATTCGAATCATCACTGTCATTAAGTGTTACATTTCGTAGTTTTAGTACACACACTTATACATTTTACATAACACATATGTACTATTCCCCGAGACTATTTTCTATTTGAACCGAAAAAGTCTGGGCCGATTCTCTCTTCTGATGTTGAATAACCCTTCGGTCATACTTCGGTTAAATCTGCCATTATATAAATGCTGAATCTGTTCAAAACATGAAAATACCATAGCACAGTCGTATAATAGAAGATTTTTTGTCGGTCTGTTAGCAATTTTAATCTAAAGGAACTTGGAATAATTAGACAAAATTCTTGTCATTAATTTAGCACAAAAAGCGTGTTTATTTTATCAAGATAATAATGAATTTTAATTATGACATGGTAGAACAACTTTTCGTGTGAGCTATTTATAACTAGGAAATACATTAATAAAAGTGTACACGAAACATCATCTTAAGTTTAACGCCTTTTTATCGAAATACCGGTATTGTGCTTATTTCAAGGAAAAACTGTTTAATTGAATTTTTGTAATTTTCAAAGATCTTAACGTACATAACATAACTTATTGATGAGTACCTGTATAACCTTATTATTTTAATGTCTTGAAATATGCTGAAAAATAAGTATATTTAACAAGATATTAAAAAAATATAAAGGTAATTTTTGGCGTTATCGTGTTACATTACAATAGTGTGCACGTCTTTTGATAATATATTATGGTTTTCAAAATTCGAGTATTAGTCATATGCACCTGCATCTACTACATAAAGAAATATGGCATGTTTTCATATTCAATTATATTAAGTGTATCCCTTTGTCGATTATGCTCTGTATCATTCTGTTTAGCTTTTTCTATAACAACAGAATATTATTTTCACATTGTCGTTTATCTGTTTGCACGAACAGCAGACAAATACGTTTCTCCCACGAACCTTTTTCCTTATCATATCGGCTTCTTATGCAAATATTTCATCAATCAAATAGTGTACAATAAAACCTAGCAATTTTTATGTTTACAGTTTTATGGTGGTTTTTGTACTACTTTAGAAAGATAAAATATTCAGTAAAAGACAAAAAAATCTTCTAACGATAAACGTACATAAAGACATGGGTAAGACGGACTACAATAAATATATGAAATATGTACCGTGTAAAACATTGCAATATTGTTACACATGACATCTATTTGTACAATAAGAAACAGGCGGGTATCTAAATAACGGAGCAATATGTTGTGACAGCTTAATAACCAACGGTCTATAACATATATAAAAAAAATAACTAGTATAAGAATGCGCTTAGTAAACTCATTCTTAGAACATGTCATGATATAATATGTACTTATTGACATATTAAGAATGTGACTGGGCCATCAAATATGAAAATATCGTAATTTGAATGCATACAAACAATAAAAGTTTAACTGCATACATTTACAAAATAATTGTGTAGAAATAAAAATGAATCTTTAATTTACATACCCTGCCACGTTGTTCGATCTCTTTATCAATATTATCATTGAGAAACTCTGGGTTTTGAAAAGCAACAAGCTGTTGCGAAACGCTTAATTTATTCAAGCTTTATAAATATACAATTCCTATTTTTGTTTTTATTTCTTTTTAATTAGTACTTTGTCAATATAATGACGAAAAACACTGTTTATTCTACTTTTCATTTATGTGCGTAATGATGAAAAAGATTAACTAGATACTGGAAACATAACCCTTCTCTATTATTTGTTTGATTACAGACTTATGTCAAAATTATTTTTAATATACACACCGGAAAAAAACACGAACAAAATCATTTAATATTCTGTCAAGACAATTACAAAGTAACAGGAGATGAAAATAACATTTATGTCCAATTTATACAAATTATATCATTTCAGTATTTTGATAGTCAGTTACATTTGTAATGATAATATAATTACATTGAAACTTAATTATTTACGGTTATCGCAAAAGTTTTTTTCAAAATGTTAGATAAGGAATCAAGAAAGTTTAACAAAGAAACAAGGAATAAAGAAACAAGAATTGTATATATGTTTTTCCAAAGATAAACATATTACTAAAAACTCTTTTTAACATTTGTTATTAAGGCACGTGTTTTAATTTAGGATTGATATAAGAACCCTTGGAAGACAATTCTTTTTGATGAATTATGTTTAATGACTAATGTTTGCTTACTTATCATGGTGCTAGCTACCGTTATAAATTTAACGCTGAATAACCGAACGTTAATTTACTTTATACCTGGTATATTCTCAAGTTACTTCTATGATTGCACAACAAATGTCTCATATATCTGTAAATACGGTGTCACGTTATAACAGGCTGCAGTATACGACTAGACATCTAAATTATGAATGTCGCCATCCGTTCTATAATAAAATAACGACATTAATCATATTTACATGTTTCACACGCTATAATGTGCTAAATGCCATTCCAACATTGAAATGTATGTGATTTAATATGTATATTTTGCAAACACCCGTATGTTTTCAAACAACATGCTTATCATCCGGTCAATTTTTATGTTTTCAAAATTAATTTTATCAAATTGATCGGTAAGTTGTGAATACCTTCGGGCACAGCAACATAAAGCAACACAATAAAACTCCGTTGAAAGTATTGATATAATGTTTTGTGGCTTGTAGACTTATTAAAAGTATTTATGTAACTTACATTGTATCTAATCAGCATAAAACAGCCTTAACATAACCCATACAAATTTTAAAACGAAAACGCAATCAAAAACTGTTTATCGATATTGTTTCACATCACGGTTTGACAATATCTTTCAGTAACCAATATTTCTGTTTGTTTATTCCAGAATGTTTCAAAGTATGTTTTAAATAAATTATATATAATATCTGGCAGCCACACTAATAAATGATCCCTTCCAGATTCAGAATTATTCAATCTTAATAATTCGACATATATCAAACTCTCGGGACAAAGAGTGCAGTTTACGTATTTAATTACAGGTCACAGTGTCATAAGTTCAATATTATTTTGAATTGCTCTTAAACTGCAAACTCGCTCAATGCAGATTTTAAGTCAAACTCGGCCTTTCATATTTTGAATTAAAAGAGAATATTTATCTTTTTTTTTGTGGCAAAAAACGTTTTATTTACAATGCAATAAGCTTTGTTTTAATGCAGGACTCCATTCCAATAATAAAACGGTATTGTGCAAAAGCTTGGTTTTGAAGAAAATGCTCCAATCTACTATTATTGAATATTAAACATTATCTGCAAATTATTCATGTGTCATGATCGTGATGGAGAGGTGTATATAAGTTACGCATTTACACTACAAGTATAGAAGACGATGGTGAAATAGAGGAAACAGAATCCCTAAAGTAAGCCCAACACGGCTCGGTTTGATTGAGCCTTTTCATGGACGGTACTGGAAAGTGCAAGTTACCATCCACGCCCCCTAGCACCGGCTTAAGCAGAATTCAACATTTTACATGAACTGGTACACTTTTGAATCAAAGACAAGTTTGGGTCAAAAACAGCCAATGCCTTATTTACACCAGGTCAGAAGAAAAAAATTTATACATTAAAAAAAGATTGTGAAACAGTTAGATTAAATTATTTGACAATAGCGTCTATGACTGGTATCGTTGTAAAACGCCGTGATATTTACAAAAGTCCTAATGCACCGTATCAACCATATACTGCATGTTATTCATTACATGTACACCAAACAATATCACAAAACAACGGTCCTATATGATAAGTTGGCATTCTAGTAGTTAAGATACTTTCACGAGCGGTTGATACTCTTAAAAATGATAAGAATCAATAAATGTGAATAAAGAAACATAATGCTACATGTAATGATCTTTTGAAAATTTCGTAAGTTTTAAGATTTAGGACTCATTGATCGTATTAGTATATAGATATATCTTATAAAACTTCTTTTAAAATATTTGAAAAGCTTGTGCAAATCGTCCTCTGATGAATTACTAAAACTGCGTTAATTGAGGTAATATCTCGTTTTGCTATCTTCATTTAGGCCATTTTGACCCTCTCTTGACCCTTGTTTATACCATACAGCCTATCTTTATTTTACCACTTTTCTGTCGACGATTATTTTCACAAGCATATTTGTTTTAATATAATTGAATAGTCACATTAAAAACAACAGCTTTCATTTTGATTTTGTTGATAGAAATATCAATATTTCTATTCATTTATATCTTTTTTTTATTTCAAAGTAACAAAATATTTGTGCATTATGATTTATACCTTATTTACACGTAAAAAGTTCAACAAAGTATTTTATTTAAACGCGTCTACACTATTATTGACGCGTTTCGCTAAATGCAACTTTAAAGTCTTTCTAATTTGTTGTTTTCCTAGGTGGGTTGTTCCAATATACCTCACTTAAATCATGTTGAATCACCCTTAGTATAAATTGCCTACTTTCTAACTTTGTCTTGTGACAGCTTATCTATGTTAATATTTAGCCTTCATAAACTTACACCCCCCTTAAAAATTCAATTTTATTCAGTCCCGTCCATTGTTGTCTCCTTTAGTGCACAAACACTTTTTACCTGGGCCATATGCCGCTTTTCATGAAATTGCACTTAATTGTCCTATTGAAAGTTCTATGATAAACGGGGGATGTAAGGCTATGAAGGCTGCATAACATAGATAAGCTGTTAAAAAATAAAAATAGAAAGCAGGCAACTTATACTAAGGGTGATTCAACATTATTTAAGTTAGGTATATTGGAACAACCCGACTAAGAAATCAACAAATTAGAAGGACTTTAAAGTACCAAACAAGTGCACTCACAACAATAATGTCGTGCAGGACGACATTCAATAATACCTTAATTAATACGCCACACATCGAATGTTTTAGGCCCGCTGACACAAAGTTAAGTTAGAACCTAGGATGTGTTTTATATTGATTAATGTTTTATGAATTATATCCAACACTGGACTGACAAAACACATTTGCCCTCAATATTTCAAGGCTGCGAAGGATTATCATGTTAAAAAATACACTTTTTATAATCAAATCCAGAATTAGAACGAACTTTAGAAAATACTTTACTAAATAGTTTTGCAACAAGCTTTGCGGATCTCACGGCGTATAGTCGATGTAAATAAAGTCTTTGTTCCCTTAAACATATATTTTTTTGAACGATAAGTACTTTTTGATACGTTTACATCGTAAAAGAGAAGACTGGTAAAACTCACCCTTTCTATTCTTTTATTGAAATATACATGTGTGCAGACCATTTCATAATAATGTAAATCACCATTATATCATCGCCTTTCATTTTTTTGTGATTTAGAAATGTTTTTATAAATTGGATATCATTTTTTATTTGTACATTTATCATGTATATGATTTACCACCACAAAATTCGAAATACATCGAGCGTCAAGAAAATAATCATTACTATGTAAAATATAAAGAAATATTATCTTTTACAGAAGCTGACACATACCACAAATCCGCATATAAATCCACCAAAATAATAGTTATTAAAATGATCTTCTTGTTGCGTCACTATTACGGCACAAACAATTATAGCAACACCTAAAAAATATGCGCTCCAGACATGAACTTCAATTTTTCAATACTCGATTTGAAGGTAGACGTATCTAAAATGTAAAAGAAAAACATTAGATACACGTTCATAAGTCAATAATTGAAGATGAAATTTTCTTAAAGAAACGGGTGGGAGAGAAATGAAAGACTGCTAAATATATGAATCAGAAATTTTATGAAGATGAATATCGATTAAACTTCATAAGATAATAATTCATTCTGAAGTTCTTTAGAGGAAATCAGGCATGTGCTTAATGAAAATATTGTTTTAAAAAGACCACATTCTGATTTGTTCGTGACAGCTTCACACTTGTAGTTAAAATGATCTCATCCCCTATTTTCATATATTTAATATACATTTTGTATTGTTGCATTGGTGTATTTTTAAGCGAAAACATTTGAAACTTGTACATTATGTAATTGTATATTCAAATATTTACCTCAAGTTCGAACAAACCTGGTCTGGTTTTCTTATATATTTAAACTGATCGAAAGTCGAATAACACCGACAGTGTGACTAAAAAAAAAACAACTTATACCATATTATGAACATTGGCGCATGGATTATAAATGTACTGTTTACTTTTCTGTTTACAATGATTGGAATTTCAAACTAAAGTATAACTCCTAGTTCAATAAATCTTCCATAATGATTATCCATTATTTTTTACTTCAATAGTAGATACGTATACAGACACACGCATTTTGAGTAATGCATCGATATTCCATTATGTTCTTTGTAGCATGTATTTAATTGATCTGCCAATTTGGTTTTAAACTCACAGCTAAGTTTTTAACAATTTTCGATAAACTCTTATTATAATGCTGATGATTGATTACTTTTAGTTTATCTAAAAACATAGATTATAATTGACACCCATCCCTTTTTATCCTTAAATTTTCTTGAAATGCAGAGTATATCAGTGATATAAAATTGGTTTTGAGTATGAAAACCTACTAAAGTATTTTGTTACTTGCGTAATAATATTTACATGTAATGGATATTATCAAGTTTCACCAAGAATAGCATAATTTGCAGAATATTGGTGAACTCCAAGAATATATCTTCAAACTTTCATATGCAATTTGTCACAATATAGATTTTTAAATGAGTTTTCAATTACAATAATCATCTTTCTTAACACTACATGGGCAAACATTCACAGGACCCTCAACTTCACATAAATAAAAGAGAATAGGTTTACAGTATGATCGAATATTTTTTTTAAATGTTTTATAATACTTTTCACGCCAACATAATATCTTGTTAGTTTAAAATAAGCTCGATTGGCACGTTTATACAGATCTTATTGACAAACAGTAAATGAACCATTTGAACTGTATACAATACCTAAATATTTATGTTATTTGATGCAAAAGTTTAATATGAACGTAATTATCTTTGTAGATGTCTCTCAGAACATCTAAAAACATATCAATTTATTCTAATATTATTAAACTTGACAACAAGAGTAGATTGTAAAAAGGTATTCAGGTTTATCAAAAGCCCTGGAAAAAAATCTACAAAACAGGTGTTAAGCGATTTTAAATTAGAAGTACAAATATATGATCACTAGTGTGCGTGCCTTTTAGCTGAAAACCTCTTTGTACATTGTGTAAAATATCATTTCCATCCAAATATGTCTGTAGTCTTTTATGTGAATTTGTTAAAGAATAATTCACAAACCTGGAGAAGGCAATCTTTTCCTCTTACAGTAAGCCACAAATACTTAAAAGGGGATTATGGTCCAGTTTTAAAGGTTTTTATGTACGGAGTACGAATGGGTTTTTCCAAATACAGTATTGATTAAATTTAACAGGGTATGTAAACTTTTTTCGGAATGGCTGAAATGCTACTCGTTTGTGTTCATAGCAGGGCAGTGCGATTTTGTAAAGTAGTCCGGTTGACATAACTTCGCCTATTTAGTGTCTACGAAGAAACGACTTGCAATTTAGAGTTTTATCCTTCACTGTTTGGGCTCTGTTTTGGGGTCAGCGAGTAAATACAATCAAAAGTGGTGTGTAAATACTTTTTGTCAGTTTTATACTGCAAATTTGAGGTAGATATTAAGGTAAGTAAATCCGTTATTATTTATGCTATTTTTGTTGGTTATCTTTTATAATATTTTGAATAACGTTAGAATCTTATCATTTAAAATGTTAACTAAATGGGACTATGCCCGTGGCACTTGGACTCTTTTAAAAAAACATGGCAAGAGTTTAGGTCAGGTCATTGCAGACATGATTTTTTAGGATAGGGCCTTGTAGGACCTTATTGCACTTGATTTGTATTTGTCGTGGTCTTCATAGAAAAATTGTTAACTTTTTCAATTTATTAAATTAATCAGTTAATTGTAAAATAAATTAAACACTGGTAAATTCCAGGCTGCAATGTATAAATATTAAACAAGTGATAAAGCAAAAGCTAATTTTACTACAGTATGAAACAAAAATGTAACTAGACACAAGAATATTTTGGCAATCTATTTTCTATAAAATTGTTATAGAAACACATTTGTCAACAGTTACAGTACAGTAGCATTGTCTGTCATATATTACCAATACAATTTATACCCAATATAGATTATTATTTCAAGACTACAGTACTCTACTGTACTGTAGTTGTTGACACATGAGTTTGTATTATAATTTAAAATTGGTAAAAAATGTTTGATATCCCTGTACAGTATGCTGCTTTAGAAATAATACAATAATTAAATAGGCTGCTTTTGAAATACAATAAATAGATCTACTTCCCAAGAAGGTGCCATCATTATATTAATATTGCAATACATTTATTAATGTTACAACATTAATACATTTATAATCCTATCATTTATGTTTGTTTGTTTAGGGTTTTACGTCACATCGACACAGTATAGGTCATATCGCGACGTTCCAGCTTTACTGGTGGAGGAAGACCTCATGTGCCCCTCCGTGCATTATTTCAGGCACGAATCGGCACCTGAGTAGAACCACCGACGTTCCGTAAGCTAGATGGATAGCTTCCTCACATGAAAGAATCCAAAGTCCCTGTCGATATTCAAACCCACAGCGGTGAGGGGCAAGTGGTTTGAAGTCAACGACCTTAACCACTCGGCCCGCCCCTATATAATTTATGTTGTTCCATAATAAATCATATTATATTCCAAGTACTCATGAATACCATTACCACATATTGTACAAGGATATTTCTATCATTTATGATCCAGACTTTTTTGCTAATGAACTATTTTGTGTTTTGTAACTTTAGGTCATCCAACATACCGTTAAGATTCTCAACATAGTTCATTACAGTTTGAAAAGTTTTTGAATTTTAAATAGATAACCATCCACATTTTGGAGCCATATTCTTCAAGTCCACAAGGAAAGGTAAGTTTGGATACCTGTTTAAAAAAGCAGATAATTTACTATAACTGTATACATAATTATGTAAATAATCATCATGAACTGACCATTCTCAACCCTTTTTATCAAATAATGATAATGATAGATTTCCTGAATTGCAGTTGAAAACAAATGTAACTTGATATCAATTTAGCATTTTTAGAGATGATCATGATATCTTAAAAATATTGTTTTAAAATTTAAAAACTCAACAGGCCTACTGTAATAAAATGAACTACATTTTTAGTTTAAATTAAGAAATAATGCTGCATTGTGATATATTCAAAATACTCTGTCATGTATGTATTGAAAATAATGTTAATATTAAAGTATATACTGTATACATAATTTTCAGGACACATAGATATTTTATCTATTTGCTGGTGAATGTACTAAACTATTGTTGGAAATGAGGCGGCAAAATGTGTGACATCTATGCTCTATTGAGCAGTAAAAAAGATAATCAATTTGTATTAACTCTACAGTATTGGTCAAGATAAAAATAAATTCTTTTTGGTATGTAACGATTTTATCATATCTATATTTATTCAGTATTCCATATTGAATTTCCTTTATTTGAGGAAATAAAAAATGAGGTGTCATCATCACAATAATGTATATAATGTAGATTTAGATTATTTTGATCATGTTAAAGATGAATGTTACTGCTACATGATATATAGACTGTAATATATTACACAAGAACTTATATGAACCTAAAAGCTGTGCAATATCATACAATAATGTACTTGTAGTTTATATCTGTTCAGTCAAATCATAATATACAATTCATTGTTTCATTAAGTCTTATTCCAGATTTTTTGGATTTTTTTTCAGGATGGCATGTGAGAAGTCAATGACTTGTCTATGTTTGACAGTATGCTAAAGGTGAATTACTGAAAAAGCTGAATACTGCAGTGACAGATGCAATAGTATTTTTACTTGATTGTAAAACAAGTTTTGCAAGTTTATAAATCACTTTCTACTCAAAAACTGGAGGCATAAGAGTAAACATGATTGATGTAACCTTGTTTGGCTCAATTCCACAAACTTGGTTGAGAACTGTGCAAGACTACGTTGCCAAGTACAAAGACATAAGTTAGCTGTCAATTGTGACTTTCCATGTGTTTGCAAGAATATGGTTTAATCATCTGCAGATGTTTCTAAATTCAAATTTTCACTGTTCTCATACTTAAATGTTGAATTCTGCTTAAGCAGAGGGCATGGACAGTAACTTATACTTTCCATTACCGTCCATAAACAGGCTCAATAAAACCAAGCCTGAAGCATTTTCAGTTTTGTTGTTCTTGGCATTCTTTGGGGATTCTGTTTGTCTCTATTTAATAATTGTATATTGAAATTATTTCAATTTAAGA